GTCCACTGACTATGGTGAATTCTTTATTTGAGTGAAGTTGAAATGAAATATCTTGCAGTCATCTCTTAGCTCTGTAATGGCATGCTGGAGAAGTGAGAAAATTTCCTTTCCTCTTTTCTCTCTGTCCTTGTGGATCCTTTTCAATCTGCTCTCCCTGTTCTTTCTTGCAAACCTTACCCAGGGATGTTTTCAGGTTTGGATTAATCCTTTTGGGCATAAGTATTGAAAAATAATTGACACACTCACTTTATAAACACTTTCATTAATTGACAATAGATAAAGTATTTTCAAAAAAATTCAGCAGATTTAAATAGTGAATGATGGATAACCGGCCTAATGAAAATAATCTATTTTCTTCTTTTTCATTCCTGTTTGACTTTCAAGGAGAACCTGTATTCGGGGTTTGGTAATTTCGTGGAAATCTTGAGAATATGATTATAAACAAATACATTCACTGAAGTGATCTTTACTGAATATTTGATTTACATAAATGTGAGAATAATAATACATGACAGATGATAAAGAAACAATACTAGATATAATTCAAAGTTTTCGGAGGAAAAATAATCAGCAGAGAAGCTCAAGGAAGACCAAGCAGCGAGGTCTGTATTTAAACTGATCTCTGGTTAATGTACTACATTTGGATAGAACGAATAAGGAGGATGAGAAGAAGGAAGAGGAGGAAGAGGAGGAAGAGGAGGAGGAGGAGGAGGGGAGGAAAGTAGAAAATATATAGCAAATGAGGGTTGTGGCAGGAGCAAAAGTTGGGAAATAGAATGCAGAAGTGAACAACTGTGGAGAGAGGAGGAATGACAGGGACAACTACAGTGCAGGCTTCGTGCCCTAACCTGAAGAGGAGAGGATGAGGTTAGGGACCCAGGAGGCCGGCCAGGCAGTGGCAAGGCGTACGGCTGGCTGAGCAGTGGCTAGAGATGCCTTCTGGCAGTGGATGAAGAAATTCCTGGACCTGGGTTGGGCTGCAGGGACTTCTCATCCAGTGTTTGCAAACCTGTGTAATGGCACGGGTCACCCACGCGTCATTAACTTGGGATGGCCAAGGAGGGCGAGATCCGGATGTGCAGACAGCATTTACCACCACAACGCTCCAGATTTTACCATTGTTTGTTAAAAGTTTACACATTTATGTTTTTGGTAAGAACCTTTACAACATGGATGTATGAAAGTACGGAAAACTGTCCCTTAAAGCTTATGATGCCAGTTTGGAAAATCTTTGCTAAAAAGTGTGTCCGGGGCTCCTATGAATCAGGAACCTCGGGAATTGGTGTCTGTCTTCACTACTCTACCTCTGCTTTGTAAATGTGGTCAAATCATTATCCCTTCCGTTTTTGTACTCATTTATTCACCTAAGTGCTGGGAATGGAATTCAGTCCCTCACACTTGCTAGGCAAGCACTCCACCACTCAGCTGTATTCCTAGCCCTCGTTTTCTTCTACTCTCCGTGACTGAACTTGTCAACTACTAATCTCCCAGGTGCATTAGTGAACAAATCTGCTTTAAAGATTTTAAAGTGCTACAAATTACAAGATAGCATGCCATTACTGTAGTTGGAAGTTAGAGTAATGCAGTCTGGCTTCATTTTCTTTGGAGTTCTAAATGAGTTCAAAGAATTTCTCCAAAAGATATTTGCTAAATCATGTTTGGAACTGAACAAGGATTTTTATAGTACTTTACACAGTTGGTTCTTTCATTGTTAGAACACAATTATAGAGTATAGCTTCCTCTTTCTGAATAAAGAGTATACTTAATTTCTACCCAGGGCCAAAGAGGCTTTATATGGACTTTTCTTCAACATATGATATTTGAATGCATTAAATATTTGAGTATATAATATTCATGTACATACTACCTGCTTTGCAGAAAAGATTCATTTGGATATATACTTGGCAATAATGGTTATATTTCCTCTCTCATTTCAATGACCATTCATTTTCAAGTTATAGAATGAGTGGAGTGGACCCTAGGATATGTATTAAGGATATGAACATAAACTGCAAGACTCTCTGATCTTAATCCTTCAAACAAGCAACAAGGTGTCTGTTAGCTAACATCCAACAGTTCGGAAGAGTGTCGTAAGTCTTTATATGCAAAGCTCCAATCAGCTACTAGGTAGTCTATGTTCAGTCTCCCAGGCACGCCTCATCCTGGTCCCACACACACCAGTCCAGGGTGTTTGGCAGTGCTGCTACGGCCAGCACTGGCCCGGGCCCGGCATCAGGCCACCCCTGTAATCCCCTCAATAGCCCTGACACAGAGACGCCGGCCCTGTCCCTGTTTACAGACCGGCAGGATAACCTGTGGTGGGGTCACACTGCAGGGTCTGGGTCTGAGGTGTGAATTCACACACCGTACATACGCTGTCACAGGGACTGGGCCCAGGGGCTGGGAGTCATTGTCAGGAGAGTGCTCTGCACAAGCTGCACCCCTCGTCCATAGTGTCTCTTGGTCAAACTTCAGTGAGTTCTGCTGCCGCTTCACTCCTGCTGACACTGTTCAGGTGAAAGGTGGCAGGGAGTCACCTGAAACTGCTGAGACCATGCAGGGCAGTGAGAAACCACACGGACAGGACAAGTACCATGTGCCTCTGCCGAGTGAAGATCCACGACTCTCCTCGGTATGGTGTTCAGACCTACAGCCCACGATGTCCGGTACCTGAGACATGGGTCAGCGCTGCTCTCCCACAGTGAGGGCTTCCCACAAGGTCCCCAGGGGTCCCCAGGAGCGAGGAGGAGGAGGAGGAGGAGGAGGAGGAGGAGGGGGAGGAGGAGGGGGAAGTGTGGAGGGTGAGTTGGGTGAAGGTCCCAGGCTCCTTGTTTGACTCTGGGAATGGGCATCCCTGAAACTGCAGGCCACTGCCCCGCACCTCTCCCCGAGTGCCAGCCTCCAACCCTGCAGCCTCAGGTACCGCGCACCACCAGCCTGAGCAGAGCCCCGGGGCGGAGCCACACGCACTCGGCATCCCCTCCGCCTGGCCCAGTCCAGGCCTCAAGGTGATGATGCCCGCTCAGCCTGGCCCCTTCAGTCCCGCTTAATGATGGAAACCTCACACTGCAGCGCACTCGTGGAAGGGAAAACATATGAGTGTAAGATGTAATTTTAAAATATTTTAAAGTGATGAAGTTCATGCCATTTCTTCCTGTTTGGGTAAATTGGGATGCTTTTAAAGGCCACGCTCTTGGAAGATTAGAAGGTTTTATAAATGAGTGATGGGAAGTCCCAGGCTATTCCTGGCAGATGCAGGACTCAGAGCAGCTGGTAGACGTGGTATTCCATCCTGACGGCCCAGTGGGTCTGTGAAGAGCTTGAACTCTCCCCCACACTGCCTTGTGCATTTCTCTGGCTAGGCTTAATGTGTGTTCCACTGTACACCTGCTTCAGAGACAGACTCGGCCATAGAGAGCGGTGGATTCAGGAAGATCAGTCTCAGGGGCTGCAGGATTCCAGGGGAGTCAGGGCTCCATGCAGCCCCTCTGCTTGCTTCCTGCGAAGCCACACAGATAGGAACTAGGAGATTCCATGGCAACACTCCAGTGGCTGCAACTGCCACATTCCGGACAGAAGCAGCAAGGGCTCGACCCTTCCCTGGGAGGATGCTTCCCGTGCTCTGAGCAGACCTTCGGCTCCAGATGCCTGCAGCATGGGACAGCTTCCATCCAGGCCTGGATGTAAAAAGTCACTTACTGCATCACAGGGCAGTTTTCTTGCTTGAGGACACTATTCCATAATGCTAACCGGAGTTCCTACTGTCTCCACTGCTCAGGAGGGTGGACCCCTCATCGGGTCCCCACAGGGGCTGCAGGGCATCTGCAGAACCTCTTGGGACAGAGGATAAAACAACACTGCATGAAGACGGGCTGGGCTAGGTCTGTGTCTACTTCTCATGTGCACGGTTCTCAGAGGTGGGAGGAGAGGTGCGATGCCAGTGACGACCTTGACGCAGTGTCTGCTCACTCAGTGACTATGGCCACAGGGTCAGATGTCAGGAGAGGAGGGGCATGGCCAGGACAGGTCCCTCCTGAGTGCCATGGTGGCACAGAGCAGCCACCTGACGCAGCCTGTGCATTGTGCTGGGCAGAGCAGTCACAAAGCTTCCTAGGAAAAGTGGCACCAAGACAAATCAGCTGGCCAGGGAAAGGGAAGCCAGGGTGTAGGTCCGGAGCCCTGGAGCCCAGGAGAGGCAGCAGGCCACCTGCTTTGTGCACATCCTCATGGGGCCAGGGCCAGGCTCCACCCAGCGGCTGTGCAGGTGTAAAGGCAGCTCTGGCTTCACTTAGTGTTGCCACCCCAGTCTGTGGATGTGGCAAAGCCTTAGAGTTCACAAAGCACTTTCACTTAGCATCTCACCTCCAGGCACAGCATTCAGTAAACAGACAGTGCTACCCAGAAAGCCCTGCGAGCCATCAAATACACATAGTCGGAGTTTGGTGAAACCCCAGCAAGAACAGACAGAAGTGCAGACGGTGCTGTCTTATTTTTTAACCACTGAAGGAAGAATGACGGGAAGCTCAGGGCACGGCCACCTTCACCAGACACTATCTGAGGGGCCATGCCTCGAGAGGTGAGGCTAACTGTTCACAGCCTCAGTCCCCGGACCACCATGGCTGACTTCCAGCTGCATGGGGAAGGTGGCCAACTCTGGGAGGAGAACGCCCATCTCCTCTCGCCCTGCTCTTCCCCTTCCTGCTGCCTTAAGCCCATGAAATGCCTCCTGTGTGCCCAAGGACCTTATGAAACACTGGCTGGCTGCATCCATGTGCTCTTTTAACTTCACTGACATGCCCAGAGAGCATCTCATCCCAGGAGGTCCTTCCCATCCCTCCAAGCTTACTGATTCCCTTTAGGCATGGAAGGAACCATGCGTGTGATGGTGAATTACTGACGATGGTGCCCGTGAATGGCCTGGGAGCCACAGCCACCGATTTCGCAGAGAGACCATCATGCTGTCCAGCCACCGTCCAAGGACAGAGTGGACACCAACTCACCTGTGGCGAAGACAACATTCCTTGAGACCAGTCGGTGCTCCACAATGGAGAACTGTGGGAGCTCAATCCTCTCCACTCCAGTGACAGCCGTGTCCCCGCCACGCCAGTAGAACTCAATGTCGTCTGTGGTGTAGCCATCTAGCAGGAAAGAGAGGCAGGAACACGTGGACATGAGGCATCTCGCTTTCTATAAATGCACAGCTAAAGAAACACTCTTTGGTAAATTGGAAGTAGTGGCTTTGCGCTCCTTGGAAGATTTGTGGAAGGCACTCATCTATGAGAAATGTTGTCAACTGACTTGCAAATCTTCATTACTGGAGCTGTGCGATTTGTGTGGGGCTTACCTTGGAAAGCAGACAGACTGGGGACACGAGGGCTCTGACCAGAGTTCACTTCGTAAAGCACAGCCTCAGGGTTGCCCCAGGTGTCATGCAGAGCGGACTTAAAGTGCATCTAACAGCAAGGACTAAGGCTGTGGGAAGAGGGGATGGAGAATCTGGAAGGGCAGCTCTTCTCAGGAGTCACCAACACGTGGCCAGACAGGGAGAACCAAAAAATCAATGGTTGATCACACGGCTCTCAAGACAAAAGTAGACGCATGCTTGCATGTTTGGAGGTCCCATGGGTTTGGCACCCTTTGACGGGCCTTTTGTTGGGACGCTCCTGTCCCCTAGGGATTGGGATGGTGATGGCCTCGGAAAAAGGAGTGGTCAGCCAGAGGACGCTTCCAAAAACAGCTCCTGGCAATGCTCACGCTGGCTTGGAGATTAATCGGTGCTTCCTGAGAATGGGTGCATGACCAGAACAGCAAAGACCCACGTGATCTGTAAGGCCCAGGAGTCTCCCACGAGACCAGGTCCACCTTTTAAATCAAGACCAATTAAAACACAGATCTGAAGCCATGACTTTTAAAGGACAGACTTTTGCATTTGAGGATATCTAACAAAAAGGTAGGCACTCAGAAATATTTGGTAGTAAACAAACAAAAGGATCAAGCCATAGGGTGAGGGCCCCACGTGACACCATCTTCCCAGCCCCATGGGCCACCTGACTGAGAATCCCGGCGCTCACCTCTGCCCCATCCCGTGTGTCCCCTCACTGCCCCGAACACGCCAGTCCTTGCTGGAAGCCCTCAAACGCTGCCCAGGGCCATCGGCAAAACAGGTCCGCAGTCCTACAAGGGCCTCAAGGGGCCTCAAGACTGGCCCTGTGCGCCTCTGCTCCTGTCCCTCCCCACAGCCCGGCCCCGGCCGGCCTCCTCCTGCTGCTCCGATCAGCCCACGGCTCCCAGGCCACCTGAGCCTTCTGCCAAGAGCGAGCTTCCAGGCTCCCTTCGCATCTGTCCTGCAGAAACTCGCAAGACCCCAGCTCCAAGCAACCCCAGGCCCTACAGCTCTTTTATCAGGCTTTATCTTCTTCAGACCGCCTGTCCTCCTTCATTTCCAGTCCACTGGTTTGCTTCCCTTCCGGAACATAAGCTCTGCGAGGCCGGCAATCTGTCTGACTTCCCTCACCTGTGGACTCACAGCACCTGCACAGGACCTGGGGCTGCAGCTGGGTGGTGCAGCACCTGGTTACTACCTACAAGGCCCCGGGCCAATCTTCAAACACAGAGTGTCTGCACAGAGGTGAAATCCAGCAAGCATTTGCTGTATAAATTCACGGAGAGAAGAATTTGCCCTTCTCTTAAGAAAGGCACACGCTCCTATTCTCCATTCCCATGCAGAGATATGAAGGCTGAGGCCACCACAAAACTGGGAGAATGCCCTTTTTCACTCAAATGTTTGAAGCAGAGATTCTTTGCAGGGGAAGGGCCTTTCTCTCTGAAAGGATTCATTTTACAGAAGACCTTCCTGCTTCTGTCCTCCATGGCGCACCATCACCCGGACAGAAGCCACATTCTCAGAAGCTACCATGTGTTCAGGCAGTTGGCACACGCGCTGTTTCCTCACTTAGCCCCCGGATTTGCTAACCTGAAACTTTCACTGTCTCATTGCAGCTGGGTCCTGTGTCCTGCGAATTTGATCCACCCACATCCTGGGATGGCCTTTCATCTGTTGGGAAATCATCGACTTTCCCCGAGCCTCTCTTCTGCATGGTAAGTGTCCCCAGGTGATCCAACTGTGCACCACTTGACATGAGTTTGTGTCCCCCGTCTTCATGGGAAGCAGCACTCAGAACACACGACGGTGCTCTGCTGAAGAAGGGATGGGACAGAACCTGAGTCCCGGCCTCCCACCCACACAGCCATGGGCCCCTATGTGCATGCACGGAAATGTCCTTCTCGCCACAACTGCATCACGTGATATTCCAGAGACAAGGCCACCTGACTGCCAGAACTTCAGTATGAACCATGACAAGCCTGAACCAATGGGCAAGTCAAGACAGTCTGTAATGGCTCAACATCAGCGAGGAAACCAAGAGCGACATCCTGCTATGCCACGAGGTGTGGCGCAGGTAGCGGGAGGGACATCTGCTTATTAGCTGGCCTAGATGCAGCTCTTGCCCCTCTGTAGAAATATTCAACACCGAATCATCAATAAAGCATCCGAGTACTCCTCAAATTGAAGAAAACTGCCAAGATGCAGAACGGCCTGCGTGTGTGTAAAGCTGAGATCCAGGTGAAAAATGAGATTTACTCCAACTGCCCAGGGTCCCCGCGGTGCAGCTGCTCATGCGTGATGGAACACACGTAAGGAGCTCGCATCTCGTGCTCGCTCTCCTCTTGCTGAATGGACTGGGACGAGGAGCATTTGTTTTCTCATACCTCAGCCCAGTGAATAGGCTCTCCTAATCAGATTACAGTGATGGCTCGTTTGTCCTGAATGTCTCTCTGTCACTGTCTCTCTTTCTCTGTGCTTCTATTTCTTTCCTTCTTTCTCTCCCCTTCCTGCCTCTTTGTCTGTCTCTCTGTCTGAGTCTCCTTCCATTCTCCCTTCCCTACCTCTGTTATGAGACTGAAATTTCCAGACAGGAGTTAAACCTGTAATTTTTAAGATAGTTAAAAAAGTATGTTGAGAACATAATCAGTGCCTTGGAAAAGCTGCTGAATAACAATAAGGAGAACTAAAACACAAAGTAGGAGAAAAAGAAATGCAGATGCAGATACACACAGCTTTCAATTTCCAGAGTGCAGTTCTGCTCATCCAGCGGGTACCTCCTGAGGTCCATCATGCACGCAGCCGTGGTGGTGATCCTGCAACAGAGAGTGGGGGTCAGCAGTGGGCTGAGGAGCGCATGGGAACCGCTTCCACCCAGACCCTGCATACGATCCCTGCCACAACACACACTGTGAAACCTAGATGACAAACTCCTTGTGTGTGCTAGACACCAGCCTGACCAGGAAAAACAATACAGAAGCTAGATGTGGTGACATGCCTGTAATCTCAACACTGAGGAGGCTGAAGCAGGAGGATTTCAGGGAGTTTAGGGCCAGCCTGGGCTATATAGTGAGTTCAAGGCCGGCCTGAATGACCTAGTGAGACCCTGTCTCAAAAAACAAAACAAAGAATTAATACTATACAATATAATGTCTTGAAATACATATACATATAGCAGGTAGATTGAGGTATTAACATAGACACTACTTCACATATTGTTTTTGTGGTGAGAATAGTTAAAATATATTCCCTTGGAAATTTCCCAGTGTACAAATACATTGTTATTAACTATAGACACCATGTTGTAATACAAAGTTTAAACCACATGAAATTACTCCAGGCTTGTTGATGTTGGAGAATCAGGGTTTCTAAGCAAGATCTTGCCTTCAGGTTGTATCGGTCCCCTTGTCTACTAGATATTGTCTTTCTAGTACAGACAGAACTAATGTTTGGGAAAAACTGATTTGATTAAAACTGAGTTCCTTGGTTCTCCATGTGACGTGTTAAAGTGCGACATGCCCACATGCCTCATTTGGGAACTCTGAACCAGGCTTCTGCTTGTCCTGGCTCTGTGATGGTTGTCTGTGGGCTGGATTCTAATACCCTAGAGCTTTTCACCAAGTGACCATCCATCTTTTCAAAGAGAATATTTGGCTTCTCTTACTGATTATGAATCAAAACTCCTAGAGTTAACTTCCCTTGGGGCCAGTTAAAGCCATGGAAAGAATTTAGACTGTGGACCAAGCACAGTTAAACTGCCCTAGGCAATGGTTTACTGACCACACATTGGGAAAAAGCACTTCCAGAAATCAATCTCTTCCTGCTGTGCCATGACCTCATCTGAGGGAAGCCAGCCCACTCAAAGCCACTGCTGAAAACACAGTAAATGGGCCGCCACGTTTCACACCATTCTGTAGAATCCCACCCCTCTCCCTTCACTGCGACCATGAATCAAGGACAGGTGGCCAGAGATCTATGCCTGGCCAGAGCTAAAAGGCAGAGTGGAGCTACAGGGCTTCTCCATCATGGAAATAAATTAGACTGCAAAGGTGAGAGCAGAAGTGGCCATATTTACAGGCTTGAGATGCAGCGGTTTTCAAATTGGAGAGCAAAGGATGAGAAAGAACCAAACAGAAGTAGAGGAAATGCAGAGTAGGTAGAGAAGGAAATTGCAGGAGCTGCACCGCTTCCTCCATGTCCCGGGAGCACCATTCTCCTAGCCCTCAGGAAATGTGCAAGGCATGCCCTGCCACATCCACCCAATGGTGGATCCTAAGAAAGACGGAGTAAAAGTACTTTCTCCTGGGATTCCTAGAGTCAGCGTTGATCCCGCCGGCCTTCTAGTCCCACCTTTCTTGAAGCCCGGTCTTACCAAGGTGATGTGAGCCAGCCCTGTTCCCAGGGACACACGGCAGCCAGAAGTCTAGGCTGTGCTAGTTCTGATGGGCTGCTCACATTTAACCTAAATGAAGGCTTTCAGGGAATGGAGGAGCAAGGCATGTTAGCATGTGGTTAGGTAGCATGTTGAGGAAGATTTTATTTTTCTGAGTTGAAAGAAGCAGTGAGGGAAATTGCCAACATACTCAGAAAACAAGGGCCGATGTGAAATTTTCTGTATGAACAGAAGGCATGTGCTACACTGTACATGCGATGTATTGTGTGTGGCCTGCACAGTGGTGCACGCGTGTTCTTTCCACGTGTCGCCAACACTTGCAGTTGTCCTAGAATCAAGAAGTACGTCGCACTCTGTGATCTAGAACCAACGCGTGGCTCTTGGTCCGTTTTTCGACAGCATCTTATTTGCCAGCCAACTGAAATCCCAGCCTCACAGATTCAAATTCTGGCACGTTTTATGGCAGACTGACAACCCAACATCCACACAAGATGTCTGTGAGGCAAAATTAGACTAAAAGTGCGGAAATTATGACTTTTTATGAAGAAGAGAAAAAGACTTCTACTGGAAATGTTCAAACTTAAATTTCCCTACATGTTTTGGCACCTGTTCATTTGAATGAGTTAAAAATTAAGATTATTATTTCTTATTATTTGGTTTTGTATTTCCCAAACCGACCCCAAACATATTCACGTGCACAAGCTCACGCACGTGCACCCACACACACATGCACATGAATTGTTTGGGGACACTGTGTGCATCAGTCTCACACTTATTGTGATATTATGGAGAGTGCATCATGGAAATCAGAGAGGGGATGGAGATGCTAAAATAAGTGGAAAGAGTGTGCCTGTCTTCTCATCAATGACTATGGTTTTTCCACAGTTAGGATTTGTCCAGAGTGGCTCATTTTGGTGTAATATTGGGCATAAAATGGAGCCTTTTTTCTACTCACTTGAGGAATAACAAAGCGAACTGCATTTGCTGTTCATGTTCTTTTGGAAGAAACACATAGACAATCCTGCTAGGGTGGAGAGAGAGACACAAAAGCCCACTCGTACTCCAAGAAGTGACACACAGGTGAAAACTGAGAGAACAGACCTGTAGGGCCACTGAGATAGAAAGGATAGCGAAGGGGAAAAACAGGTGGAAGCAGAAAGAGACCACACAGCTGTTTTGTGTACTAGAACCACTCACCCAACTACAAAACCTTCATCCAGGTTGACTAAACTCATGGTGCCTCAGAGAGCAGACTTTCTGAGTGAGATGAGTGAAATTCATACAATTGAGACTTTTCAGAAATCACAGAACAGTGGAGGAATTTTAAAGCCTGCAGAAATGAGGTCTTGAGCCCAGTGAATAGATATTGTCCAAGGGCAGACAAGCCCCAACAACATCTAGGCTCGATTTGTGTGACTGCAACACTCACACATGCATTCTATGTAATCAGTGCCAAGCCCCACGTCCGTATTCCTCTGTGACCTGACAACTCCACTCTCATTTCTAACGGACAGTGGTAAAGCCAACCAAACAGAATCCAGCATGACCATATCACTCTCAGTAGACCCTCTTTCATGTGCTTATTTTCTGTTTTTTGATCAGGAGACAGGAATGTTGAGAGTCTTTATGGCTGCAAGATATGCTCATGATAGAAAAGTAGAAAGAGAGGTGGCCATGTGGCAGGAAGAATAGTGGTACTCTCTATGTCTTTTCTTTACAAATATGCACATTTGAGGATGCTGAAAGTAGAAAGTAAAAACAAAAACAATCAATCAAATAAAAGATGTTGACGGAGCGGGGGCAGGGGGGAGACAGGGAGAGAAGTAAAGAGTACAGATGATAAAGAAACAATACCAGATACAATTCAAAGTTTTCGGAGGAAAAATAATCAGCAGAGAAGCTCAAGGAAGACCAAGCAGAAAGGTTTATATTTAAACTGATCTCTGGTTAATGTACTACATTTGGATAGAAAGAATAAGGAGGATGAGAAGAAGGAAGAGAAGGAAGAGGAGGAGGAGGAGGAGGAGGAGGAGGGGAAAGCAGAAAATATATAGCAAATGAGGGTTGTGGCAGGAGCAAAAGTTGGGAAATAGAATGCAGAAGTGAACAACTGCAGAGGGAGAAGGAATGACAGGGATAACTACAGTGCAGGCTTCATCCCCTAACCTGAAGAGGAGAGGATGAGGTTAGGGACTCTTCCTGGGTCACACTGCATGGGTCGAGGGTGCCCAGGGTCTTTCCTATGCAGCCCATAGCAAGCAGAAGTCACAGAAGGCAGCCTAGTGTGCTGGGGTGCTCTGGGCAATGGGCTCAGGACACGCACTTTGGCGCCGTGACACCAGAAGAACCCTCCCACCTTTTCCTCTCTCAAGATCTTTATTTGTCAGTACATCATTGAGTTACCTCTCTACCTTCTACCCTTTCATTTTAACCAGAAAGACTCTCTTTTAAAATTTCTTTTAGAGCAGGTAGTAGAAATACCTTCTTTTATCTGTTGGTTATCTGGGAGGATCTTAATTCCTCCTGATTTCTGAAGGATAGTTTGCCAAATAAGAAAGAGTTCACTGATAGCTACTGTCTTTCAACACATTAAATACATGATCTCACTATCTTCTGGCAAAAATCAGGATGGTGGTCATTGTTTTGAGTATCCCTTATGTATAGTATATTATTTTTCATCTTTTTATGATATTTTTCTCTTGATGCTTTTAAGATTCTCTCTTGATCTCTGATGTTTGAAAATTCTATTGTAAGATGTTTCAGTGTAGATTTCTCTTATGCCAATTGGAATTCACTGAGTTTCTTGGATTTGTAGATACATTTTCCCAACAAATTTGGCAAGTTTTCAGCCATTTTTTTCTTTACAAACTCTGTCTCTTTCTCCTTTTCACCTCCTGGGACTCTTATAACACATATTTTGATTACTCAATTACAAGTCTTTTAGGCTCTGTTCACTTTTATTTCTTTTTTCTTCTTGTTTTACCAATTCAAAATTTTGAACTGTCCTATTTTAAAGTGTCTGTTGATTCTTTCTTTTGCTCACTCAAAGATAATGCTGGATCCCTTTAGTCAATTCTGGAATTATAATTTTCAGCATCAGAATTTTTCTTTGGTTCCTTTTCATAATTTCCATTTGCTTACTTATTTTTAATTTAAGTTTTACATGTAATTTTTCCCATTTCTTTAATTCTTTCTTCATGTTTTCCTTTACTTTCTTTGAGAAGACAGACCATTTAAAGTCTTCATCAATTAGACATTAGATCTAATGTCCATGTCAACATATTTTGTTTCTTTGAATTAAGTATGTTTTTCTCTTTCTTTGTAGGCCTTATCATTTTGTTCCTGAGTATCAGAAATCAGATTCTTTTTTTAAATCAAGATTTACTGCTTTTGAATTTAATAATCTATTTGTTCTGAGATGTT